ATTCTAGAGAATCCAGTAAATAAGATAAATATTTATAAAATATGAGCGAAATAAAAACAAAATTTATTTATTATATAATAACATTTATATATAATAACAACGAGAATATATATAGCGAGCCGGAGAACGCGATGCAAGAAAGAGGAATAAGAAGGGAAAATTTGAGATAGGATGAGGTGGCCTTTCAGATGATCATTTTAAGCCGTGAAGGGAAGATTTGATTTGCTTGGCGGGTCCGTTTGTCTTATCCCTGCGCCATCACATAATTTGTAGCGGCGCTCAACTTCTTAGAGATACCTTGCAGTAGCTTATTTCGATTCACGTATCACTATCTTCCTTCTTTTGCAGGTTGAAAACATAATATATAAAAATAGAAGTAACGCAAAATAAAACAGAAATAAAAATATAATAACAAAATAAAAAAGCATTAAATTAGTACATATGCATTGTCCCATACAGCACCGATAGATTGCAAAAACATTACAACAATCTTTCACCGCAATATTGCAATATTGCAAATTCACTTCAAAATGTTGCTACATCATTGCTGTTGAATTGCAGCAATGTTAAAATGTCCGCTTTTTGGAAGATTGCAACAAAATATTACAACAATATTGCAATGTTATGAATTTGCAATAATGCATTGTTATTGCAACCATAAACTAATGTTGCATATACAGGTATATAAATGTAAATAAATCATTAATGAAAATACGTTGTAGTTAATTTATATATATTACAATATATAAATTATAGAATTTTGATTACATGCAATATTTCCGAAATATTAATGTCATGTTGCTACAAGTGTGCTGGAATTTTGTGATCTTATATCTCTGCAATGTCTTTTATAATGTTGCATTGCAACTTGCAACATTGCAACGTTGCTGCAATATAATTGCAATAATCTGTGCTGTATCAGGTTGCTACAGTTTTGTATTGTAATATTGCTGCGGTATTGTATTTCAATATTGTTGCATAATTGTATTGCAATATTTCCACAAGCGGACATTTTACCGTTGCTGCAGTATTGCAACAATTTTGCAGCAACATTTCTGCCAATGTTACAATCTTGCAAAGAAATATTTCTGCAATGTTGCTGCAATAATATTTGTGTTTTAATTTTTTTTTTATGTAAAAATATACTACAATAAAAAGATAAATAATTTTATTTATGTATACATATGTATGTCTTATTCATTATAAAAATTGACTTTTAATCCTAGACTTTAATTATGCAGCTACACATATATATTAAATATATATACGTATATATATATATATATATATATATATATATATATATATATATATACAATATATATAATTATTTTTTAATAACTTTTTTGTAAAAACTAGTTAATAATTTTATATCTACATTTATATAGATATAAAACTATTATATTTTTGCTCTTTATTTTTATATTATTTTAGGAGATTATATATGTCAGTACATTTGCATTTGCAATATTTTTCAAATTCTTATATGTTCTAACTTTATACATAATGTATTTGAGTTAAGCATCGTGAAGTTTATTGCCACATGTGACGAATCGATGACGAGCGAGACCGAGCGAGATCAATAGAAACCTGTTGTATTTTTAATTTTAATATATACTGAAAGTGATTGCTTTTAGAATAAATCTTTATTTTTATCTGCTTCATACAGAGTCTTGTGAGCTAATGATAAAAGTTGAAGGAATGGTTGCTATATCTGCGAAAAACAATCTATACTTACTAATCATAAAGGAATTTACTTTTTAAAAGTAACTAGAATAATTTTGTGTGTGTTTACAAGAAGGACATATTTTAAATATAGAACCTATAGAACTAAACAAGTAAATTAAACAATATTTTCTTAACAAAACCGAACACTTTTTACACTTGAATTTATCTCATCCCGTGACATGGCGATCTGAATTTCGATCTGCGTCCATAAATAAATGTTTTATTACTTTATAACCAAAATATAGTCTAAAATTTCAAAATTTCGAATATATTATAGAATACATGAATTACATAAAAGATTAATTATTTAACCAATTAAATTATTTTTAACTGTCCTAAAAATAAAAATTTATAATTGTATAAAAGTAAAATAATCGAATAAATCCGGGCAACTGAGAAACCAAAGCAGGATGGAAAGTGCCAGATAAACAATTTAGTGAAAATTTATCACTTTATATATAGATGTTTCGATTGGACCATCTTCAGTACAAAAACGCATTTACAAAGATGATAATTATTAGGACAAGGCGAGTCAATCGATTTTTATTAAAAAGCTTGCGTCAACGACTAACAGCCAGATCACTATATATATAAATATATATATATTTTTTTTTTTTTAAATATATATATATATATATTATATTTTTTAAAATTAAGGAGCTGACTTAAAAAAAAAAAAAAAAAAAAAAAAAAAAAATCTTATTATATATATATATAATCTATAAATTTTCACTAAATTGTTTATCTGGTATACTTTCCATTTTGCTTTGGTTTCTCGCAATTGCCCGTATATTTATTCGATAATTATTATTATTACTTTTATAATTTTTATTGAAAATCTGTTTAACATTTTATTTTTTATTTTTGTAGTTTTAATAAGTTATTCCATTTGCGAAAATTATATTTAAAAATTAATTACTATATATATTTTTTATTGCTTGAAAAAATCTCCCGAGTAACAAACTGACGTCATTCGCAACATCAAAATGACGTATATATGTATCATTAAACGTCAAAATGACATCATGAAACGTCAAAATGACATCATTAAACGTCAAAATGACGTCATTAAACGTCAGTCTCTGCTACGTGGGAGGACATATATATAAGGAAGGAAAAAATCGATCTGCAGATTTTGATCTTATAATATAGAAGCTAAGACAAAATTACGAAACAATTTTTCGCCCGGCATGAAGTATAAGTATAAAGTATAATTTACTTGGTATCTTTTCTCAGATACAGCCTAAGGGGTTTCATTCTCTCCCTCTCTCACATCTCGTTCGTGTAATGGCGTATGCTGTTCACGTATCTCGGAAGTGTGAACCTGCGCGGCCCTTTTACGCCACATGATTGCATACCGCATCTGCCCGAACATGATGCAAGATTATATTATGTAAAATATAAATTCTAGATATTTTCAAATCTATATTGCGAATTAATTTGTATTACGCGTGCACAAATATAAAGTTACGTATATTTTTAATAAATATAAAAAAAATTTTAACATATTTTACAATAATAAATTATAAAACTCGTAGTTAAACTCTTAATTTATAAAAGCTCAATTTGAAATTAATTGAGAGTTTAACAAGGCTCTGTAATATAAATATAAATTTAAAGTGTAAGACAGGCAATAAGAGCCAAATCGCGGATGACAGTGCGTTATCCCAACGAAACTAAATTTTTTCGTTAGAATTAAAATACCTGTGCAGAAGGCACCAAATTTTACTTGGTCGCGGTCAAGATTTAAAATTGAAATAATCTCTACAAGAGATTTAATTCCATACATCCCCTGTTCCCCCTAAGGAAATAAATGCGAGAGAAAAATATCTGAATAGCTCAGTTGGAAGAGCAATCGCCCGGTAAACGAAAGGTCTCGGGTTCGATTCCCGATTCAGTGACTTTCGGATCTATATTTTTCTCCTATCCAGATAGATATTGAGTTTGCTTCGTATAAAGTATACATTGTTTATAATGTTTTTTAATAAGAAATATTTTAAAGAAGTTAACGTTTTATCGTCTCGACATAGATGTAAGTGATCACTATTTATTTAAAAATCTAATATTCAATATTCAGGCTAACACATTAATTATTTCACAGCTTATTACATATTATTACATCATAGATTACAAAATTAGACTTTTATTAAAAAAAAACTACAGAAATCTGATGTTCGAGATTATAGGCTCTTTTACGACTAATTCGAACGATCAGCCGTAATTTAAGCCAATAAGTATGATGTGTTATATTGCGTTTTTTCATAAGTCTATATATTTTACATGTATGATAAGTTCTGTCTTTCCAAATTATTTAATTTATTGATATGTTAGCAAAGCGATATTTGTATTGATAAAGACTGTCGTACAGTTGAAACGTTTATTAATTATCATTTGTATTATTTTCATGACGTAGAATAAAAAATTTTTAACACCTAATCAATTAGCTCGTTAAGTTGGCCTTTTAATTTTATTACTTATAAATTTAAAAAAGTATATTTATATAAATACACATAGGGTAAAGAGTGCATGTACTATATTTATGTAAGCCACCATGGGCGTCCGCAGGATTTTTTTCAGGGGAGGAGCATAATTAAAATTTTTTGTTCTTACTTAATTTTTTAAATTTAATATTTTAATTTTTATTTATTTTTTTATACATTAAATATGCAAAAATAATTTTTTGTAATAATTCTAAAAGACAAATGCCCCCTCTTGCTCCCCTCTGCGGACGTCCATGTAATCCACCCTTTATACATACAATAAATATATACATATATAATATACAATAATATAAAAAAAATTTATAAGTGCAATTAATAAAAAAATATTAAAATATATTAATAAATATATAAAAAATATTATACACTATATTAATAAATAATATATATATATATATATATATATATATATTTGTGTTTATATATTAATTTAATATAAAATATATAATTTGTTAAAAACAAAATTTATAATTGTTTTCATTTTAAAAATATAATTACAGTGAGAGACAGTATGTATCATATTTTTTTGTGACTTTGTGACCAAAATGGAACGTCTCTATCACGTATATAGTGCTGGCAGGGCTGTGTTTGCTGGGTAAGTGCATTTTTAAATATCTTCTTTTAAATATAAAAACTAGAATTTATTTTTAGACATTTAATATTAAACAAATAAAAATATAGCAAAACAACAAAAAATAAAAAAAAACAATTAAAAACAAAATTTTAAGCATTCCTTCCACTAAAAAATTGACGTTTGATGTGAAATCACCCTTAAGTCAAGCATTGTTTACCGCGCATGCGCAAAAAACCCGGTTGGAATTCTAACACAATTCTCGAAACGCTTAATTATACAGTTTGTAATTACATTGTTTCAGTAAAAACGAAGAATTTATTGTTGATTGTAGTCTCGTAAGTAATCATAGTAATGCAAATACTGCATCCTACTGTACGTAGAAGATAAAACTTCAGAAAAAAGGGAACATTTGTAAACAATGGCAGAAGAAAAAAACAGAAGGTAATGAATTCTCCTCGATATATATCAACTATTTTAACATAAAAAAAAATATATATATAAATTATATATATCACCTACATCATGTTTTTGTCATTGCATGCAATTTATTATGTATTATTTACAACATGAGTTGAGGTTATGTTTTCACTACTTTAATTAAATGTTGACAAACATTTCAAGAATGTGAAAATCCAAAAAATAAAATTTTTTAATTCAAGAATTGAAAAAAAATATTCGTACAAATATCTATATATATTTTTTAAATATTCGATCATATTTATTAAAATAGGACACCCTATATATTTTTCGTTAATCTGAAAAAATAAAATATATTGTAGAAAATTTTTATTTGTAAGCTATTATAATAATTATAATAAATTAACAATTTAAAATAATTTAGTCCAAGTGATAAACTGGAATCGATAGAAGCTGCTGAGGAAAAAATAAAATTAAAGCTTGACGATAAAAGCAAACAGAAATCTAAGGATGAACCAGTGGAAAGACTTGGTGGACAGAGCAACAATAATGAAAATGGGAACTGTTATTGGTAATTGCCTCTAAATATTGCTAGTGATATTATACATCTATTTTCTTTATAACATTGTGATTTACTGTAGAACACTGTAAATCTTTGCAGCAACAAGGAAAGAAATTTAAATATTGTGGAGCTACTTTGCGCCAGCTGTTCTCGTTGGTTTCATGAATCCTGCATCGGATATCAATTGGGCAAACTTGTACCTTTTATGATGAACTATATATTTATGTGCAAGAACTGTTCACCAACAGGTTTAGAGAGTTTCAAGAAGAACCAGGCACGTGAGTGTCAAAAATTAATTATAAAAAATTTATCTATACAAAGTATAGATATTTTATTGATTGTTAATCATACTGCTTTTGTTTGATCTTTCAGCATTTCCACAGATGTGTATAACAGCAATCGCAAACCTGCTGCAGATGTGTCAAAAGGAGAACGAGCAGAGAACTCTCTTTCACAAGGACAAGGACATCATACCATTTATTGATTGTCACTGGGAGAGTATGACTACGATGCCTCGCAGAGTCACTCAATCCTGGCATGCTACGGTATCTAATGAGTTTTTTCTATTACTGTTAGATTAGATTAGAATTTATAATTAGGATCGATATATACTTAAAAATCCTAGTTGAATCCAATAATCAACCCAAGTAGCAATTATACATTATTTTGACATTAAATAACGTCATTTTGATGTTTATGTTAATGTCAGTTTGCTACTTAGAAAGTTCCATTTTCTAGGATTTGAATATTACTCATAAGAAATGATATTTTATATATTGTACTTGCGAAATAATCGAATCTAGAACAGTTACGAATTTAGATCAAGTAGATCTGCAGGTTTAAAATAGTAATTTTTTTATTTTTTAAGTAATCATAGAGTTGGAAACTCTATGCAAAAAAATTCGTACCTGCTTGAAGATACTTAATAATATGAGTTTATATAATCTTCAATGTTTTATTTTATAATTTAATAAACATTTGATTTTCTAGATCCACAGAGCATTGCTTAAAGATGTCGGGACATTATTTACAATGGACGAGAGTACGTCCGAAGGTCAGCTATTTGGTTTGGCAAGCCCTGAACTTACATTGATTAAACCAAATTATGAAGCTATGATTAAAAATGGTCACCTGCGAGCGACAGAAATGGGCCTACAGCATGTCGGTATGTATTTCGTCTTTTAGGGCTGATTTTTCCAATTTTTTGATAAGTTTTATTCGACAGGTAGCATATCTTTGTCTCTTTTTTTAGAACTTATCTGAAAAGAAATGAAAATATGCTACTTGTCAGGTAAAACTTATCAAGAAGTTGGAAAAATCAGCCCTTATTCTTATATTAATTTATTTATAACAAAATTTTAATTTAAATCTATAAATCTATGAAAAAAGAGCTAGCATTTATCAAAATTTTTGCTAAAAACATAGAATTGTCTCATATTTTAAAATCTATAAATATTTAAGTTTTATTTCTATTTATTTAATTATATATTATATTGTTATATTCTTTAATTTATATATCTATATATTTTAATATCTATGAAATATAAACAAAAATACATAAAAATCGAATATTTATGAAAGATGTGTTGCAGCGTGAATTCTAAATTTTAAAAATTTAAATATAATTTGTTGAATTTTTATTTAAATTCTCACCTTTTTTACAAATTTTTTCAAAAATTGTATTCAATAGAGCAAGAGTTTTGAACATAATTAAGCGAACAATGTAAATCTGTCTTTATCTTATCACAGATGCAATCGTGTACGCGTCAGCCCGCTATCACAAAACTGCTGAAGTTAAATCACGATAGAGAAATTCAATAGCTCTCTAATAAACTTTGCCCGAAGACACTTCACTATAATGCTACAATGTTGTATTCGATATCATCATTCATATCATTTATATATCAGTATATATATATATATATATATATATATATATATATATATATATATTTATAAGAAATTTTTATCGCTTTTATTGCTGTATCACTTTTAACAGTCGATTTAGAAAAAAAATTATTAATTACTTGTTTTATCCCTTTATTGAATTTGAATGCATTGAGGAGAAGAAGCATGATTTAACCTTGAGGAAAAGAAAATTAATTGTTGATATTGCGAATAAAGTGTGATTTTTTATATTAAAAAATGGAACTTTTAGTGCCACTTAGTGGAGGATTACGCGGTCGTAATGCTAAGCGGAAGTTTCCGGGCGAGGCCACGGGTGCTGGTTCCGGGAAAAAAGGCAGAGGATCCGATATGACCACTCCTAAACTACCCGCTCACGGTTACCCACTCGAGCACCCCTTTAACAAGGATGGTTACAGATATATCTTGGCAGAACCAGATCCTCATGCGCCCTTCCGACAGGTAAAGCACTTTACGTTTTCTATTATACAAAGATTTTCTTTTAGTGAATCCTTATGTTAGTCAAAAGAGAAATTACAAATACTATTATACTGAAAAACAAGTTTTATTTTATTTTACATTGAAGAGAAATTTTTTACATACAAAGGAATCCTATGCTGTCCTTTTTTACCAATGATTATTTTTCTGCACGCTTTTAAAGCTATTCAGCCAAGTATAAATGGTGTATTAATTTTGCAGATTATTATACTATACAGGATGTGTCCGGTAATTCGCGCTCCATCCGTTAGGTGCAGGTAGAGCAAGTCAAACTGAGTAAAAAAGTCCTCTACCAATTTGCAAAATTTTCAATTATTAATTATAATTAATGAGAAATTAATTTATAAAAATTTGTCTATTCGCGTGTGCTACACAAACGCAAAAGATAATAACATACATAAAACTGGACCTTCCAGTGGGCTCTTCTCACCGCGCGCTACCACTCGCGTGGTTTGGCTAAACTTTATTAATTAATTTCTCCTTTATTATTAAGAAAATCGCAAAATGGTAAAGGACTTTTTTACTTAGTTTGACCTACCTGCACCTGACGGGTGGGGCACGAGTTACCAGCCACCCTGTATATATTATATTATATTAGTATTATATACCTTGGTATATATGTGTGTGTGTGTGCGTGCGTGCGTGCGTGCGTGCGTGCGTGCGTGCGTGCGTGCGTGCGTGCGTGCGTGCGTGCGTGCGTGCGTGCGTGCGTGCGTGCGTGCGTGCGTGCGTGCGTGCGTGCGTGCGTGCGTGCGTGCGTGTGTGTGTGTGTGAATTTACACTATATTATTAGTATATACAGGGTGTTACATTTCAAACGTAACAGGTGGAACATTTCGTAAAGAATGCATTTTAGAAAAAAAATGTTTTCTACAAAAGTTATTTCAAAGGGAACATAACATAGTAATATTAATATAACCTTGAATAGCACCATCAAGGACACAAAAATCACTTTGAATTTTTTAAATAGTATACACATACCAAACAATAGTGGTACTCCCACCACAATAGACATAGTTATAAATAAGCAAATTAACAATTATACTGACATAAATGTACTTCATGAACTAGATTCGGATTCACAATCCAATATATTTCACTCTTTTAAAACAAAACTTGACAGATATGAGACATAAAATATTTAACTTTAAAAACTAGTTCAAATTTAAATCTATTCTAGGCAAACATATAAATATTAATAATAAAATAAAAGATCATACAGAGTTAGATATCGAGGTAAACAAATTAACAGAAGTAATACAAAAAGCGCAACAACTAACGACAAAAATAATTACAAAAACAAATCAATAAGAGCTAGATAAGTTCTATACTAGAAATATATTTGTGAAAAGATTTATAACATAAATGTCATAAATTATTAAATATTATACAGAAGTAAATTCGATTCGTCGTACGTTTCGGTTGTACTTTTCAACCTTCTTCAGCGAATATATTAAAAATTAAAATATTAGTATAAATTAACAATAAATTATTCATCAATGTCATTATAATTAAGGGCACGCCATTAACAAAAATTATCCATTGCAAACCCATGTACAATAGAATTGTATGAAAAATTATCGATTATAAACCCATGTACAATCGTAACAAAAGTAATGAAATAAAAAAAAAAATTGCGCCAAGTGAAAGTAGAAACTTGTACCAGTGGAAAATTAAAGTTGCAGACATATATAGAGTCGTATAATGAATCAATAAAAATTTAAATTTGCAAATGTAGAATTGTACCATAAAAAAACTTATCTTTTAAAAAAAAGATAAACAAGATGCCAAGTCCATGCGCCATGTGAAAAAGTGTTAAACAAAAAAGTATTTTTAAGTAAAAAAATCTATCAATTGACAAAAATTTATGTTCTAAAATTAATATCTCTACAAAAAGTAATGTCCAATTATTGCGCGAATAAATAAACATTTTTATAAAAAATTAAAATTTAAAAACTTATGCAAATTTAAAATTAATATAAAATAAAAAGAAATAAAAAAATTTTAGTTAAAAAAACTGGGCGCGCTGCTAAATAATATTCTAATGATATTAAAATTAAATTGTTACTTTTAAACTCATTGCAGCGCGCCCAGTTTTTTAACTAAAATTTTTTTATTTCTTTTTATTTTATATTAATTTTAAATTTGCATAAGTTTTTAAATTTTAAGAGTTTAACTAGGCTCTGTAATATATAAATATAAATTTAACATATATAAGATAGGCAATAAGAGCCAAATCGCGGATGACAGTGCGTTATTCTAAACGAAACTAAATTTTTTCGTTAGAATTAAATACCTGTGCACAAGGCACCAAATTTTTACTTGGACACGGCCAAGATATAAAATTGGAATAATCTCTACAAGAGATTTTTAATTCCATGTATCCCCTATTCCCCCTAAAGAAATAAAGTGCGAGAGAAAAATATAGATCCGAAAGTCGCAGAATCGGGAATCGAACCCGAGACCTTTCGCTTGCCGGGCGACTGCTCTTCCAACCATTTAAATTTTAATTTTTTATAAAAATGTTTATTTATTCGCGCAATAATTGGACATTACTTTTTGTAGAGATATTAATTTTAGAACATAAATTTTTGTCAATTGATAGATTTTTTACTTAAAAATACTTTTTTGTTTAACACTTTTTCACATGGCGCATGGACTTGGCATCTTGTTTATCTTTTTTTTAAAAGATAAGTTTTTTTATGGTACAATTCTACATTTGCAAATTTAAATTTTTATTGATTCATTATACGACTCTATATATGTCTGCAACTTTAATTTTCCACTGGTACAAGTTTCTACTTTCACTTGGCGCAATTTTTTTTTTATTTCATTACTTTTGTTACGATTGTACATGGGTTTATAATCGATAATTTTTCATACAATTCTATTGTACATGGGTTTGCAATGGATAATTTTTGTTAATGGCGTGCCCTTAACTGGTCGCCTTTTTTTACCTTTTTTTAAAGGTGAGTTTTTAGAGATTATATCATTCATTTTTGTATATGATAAGCATCTTTAAATAAATAAGCAAATTCAATTTTTCTGGCATTTTCTTATTTTAGGTACATATATATCCAATAATTAATATACAAAATTAAATATTATTCATCACACAATTTGTATCAAAATAATATATTTTTAAAAATTTATTTTAAATTTATTTAATCATTTTTATCATTGTGATTGTAGTGGCAAGGATTTTATTGCTCAGTGTCATTGCAAGCATCTGGCCTGTATATACCATAATATATTGTGTAATACATTGGCTAAGTATGACAATATGGATTTTGATAGATTCCCATGGAATATTGGAATTTTGTCGGACTTGCAGTCATCCACCACATATGCAGCCTACAATTAAAGAACGCATTTATTCCATATTATTTGCTTCCGTTATTGGCATAGTGCACATTTTTATATATCTCAATGCTGTAGATAGCAAAACATTTTGAAAACATCTATCTTTCTATGTTATCTGCTTTTTTGAAAATATTGCAGCAAATTTATTATGGCAATATGCTTGTTCTCCTGCAGTTAAAGAGGCTTAGTACTTTAATATAATCTTTATTATTTGTATCATTTCCTTTTTCTTGGGAATTACAGCAATGCTTTTGTACTATATTGTCTTGCATCCCTCAAAAAGACAACATACTTCAAACGCACCAGTTCAAGCAATGTAACTTTGATATTTATTTACTTTAAAAAATGAGAGATAAACTATACAATATGCAATTAACCTTATCTTATGACTTTTATAAATCTTATGATAAAATCTAACTCTCTCTTAATCTTTATTATGAAAAGAATCTCGGTATTATATGAAATAATTTCATTGTAATTAATAGTTTAACTTTCAAAAATTTTGCAAAATAAAATAACTCATACATTGTATTTCTACCATATATATAAAAAAAAGATAGGTAAATATAAATAAATAAATATATATTTATGATATACAATAAATAAATATATATTTATATTTATATATATATATATATATATATAAAATGTTGGATTTTTATTATATATATATAATTTTAAAAAATCTTTTTTATATGCTATTGAATTTTAATACATACAATTTTGATTATATGTATTTTAATTGATTATATTTATAAGTATTTTTATATTATCTTAAAAAGACTGCATAGAATTATTTGTGCGACACTCTTATATGTATGTATAATTAATAGGGACCAACTACACATTTTTTTTTCCACTGAATAAAAACAATCTCAATATTAAAATTAAATTATAAAAAAGATACTGTGATATTTTATTGATGAGAAATGTACATTTATAATTGTATTAAATACAAAAATAAACATGCCATGAATTACTATATATACATATTTTCATAATTATCAAACTTAAAAATATAATATTGTTACCAAAGAAGAAAGCACTATTTAAAAACTCTAAAAGTTCATAATTTGTTAAATTAGTAATTAAATACTGCATTTTGTATAATTTTTAAGCTTTATTCTTTTATTTTTCTTTATTTAATTGAATAGATATTAACATCCAATGTAGCATACAGATTAAATTAACAACCAAAAAAATAAATCTTAACTTTGAAATATATTTTTGTTTCTTTTAAATATCAATCAACTGGATTTTGTACTACTATTAATATGAATTCTTTATCTGGTGCCATCATAATTTTATGTTTTTTGCTACGTATGCGCAAGAAAGTTAAATCATTTGTTGGATTCAAGTCACGTACGACAGAACGAGCTTTATCTGACAATTGACTTATCAAACCTGCGTATTGAACTGTTGTCGTATTATCTAATGTTGACTTTATAGGAATACCTAAAACAAATATAATTTTATAAATTTTTGTTTACAACTACAAGTAAATCATGTCAATGATCTCATGTAATACCTTCTGCATTCACCACTATTGTTCCAACTACCCTTTTATGAGACTGAATTTGTTTCATAGTTTCTTCAACCTCTTATAAATTATTTCATCGAAATTTATTAATAAAATTTTTATTTTAAATATTCCAATAACGGAAGCAAATCATATGGAATAAATGCGTTCTTTAATTGTAGGCTGCATATGTGGTGGATGACTGTAAGTCCGACAAAATTCCAATATTCCATGGGAATCTATCAAAATCTATATTGTCATACTTAGCCAATGTATTACACAATATATTATGGTATATACAGGCCAGATGCTTGCAATGACACTGAGCAATAAGATCCTTGCCACTACAATCACAATGATAAAAATGATTAAATAAATTTAAAATAAATTTTAAAAAATATATTATTTTGATACAAAGTGTGTGATGAATAATATTTAATTTTGTATATTAATTATTGGATATATATGTACCTGCAATAAGAAAATGCCAGAGAAATTGTAAAATAGTTCCTATAGCACTGATATTAGATTTATCTTGTTAAGCTAATCGAATGCTGCGATGATAACTAGCCATTGCCCAACCCATGCTCACAAGTGAGCTGATAATGCTACCTGCTTGATGTACAACTGAAAAAAATATAGAAGCTAATTAAGAAAATTATTAAAAATATATGCATACTCATACATAGGCATTTATATAATTGAAATATTATTGAAATAATAGCAAAATATCTGATTTTGTATCACAGACTGTAAACTTGCACATAAATTATTATGACAATAAATTTGCAAATAATAACATTAAAATTGAATGTAAAAATTGAAATTGAAAATTGAAAATATCTAACGCCGCACGCTGTCAATATAGCGGAGGGCAACTATCGCCGTCTGTTGTAAAACGTGCGAGATGGACATTTCCAATACATGCATCTATTCATGTGTTGTGTACGTGTAATATATGTGTGCGCATGTGTTGTATACGTGTGAATACGTGTAGCACGATACTACTATGTTTGCGTGATGATAATAATGATGACGGGGACGTTTCTTAAAAGAAATTTTTCATATTTCGACTTTGCAATTATATATCTCTGCTTACAAATCACGTAGAGCAAAAATAAAGACACTTTTATTATATAATTCAAACTCAATCTATCGATTAAGTCTAGTATAAACTCGATTGCTTCAGCCGTTATTGAGAATTCGAAATATTATAAAGACTCAAATGTCCGACTCGCGTTAAGATACACGGTGTCTCGGCTACGCCCTTAACTGGTCGCGAGACACTACCGTGTCTCTTGATAAAAATAGACGGAGTCAATTTATATGCTAACAATCGAGATCAACGCATTTATAAAGCAAGATATAACACTTTGACTTAACAAATTGAATAAATATATCAAAGTACACAAAGATCCTATTCCTAAGGTTTCAAACACCAATGTGATATATAAGATAGACTGTAAAGAGTGCAATGCATCGTATGTTGGTCAGACTAGTAGGAAATTATCTACTAGAATATCTGAACATCGATCTAATATACACAGAAATGTAAAAAAATCCGTAATCACTGACCATAGATTAAAACATAATCATGAATTTTGTTGGGACGATGTAAAAATACTTGATAAAGAATCTCAATATAATAAAAGATTAATTTCAGAGATGATATTTATAAAAAGGCAAAATAATAGTCTCAATTTAAAAACAGATATTGATGGTTTGCCAGTTGTGCGGTCGTTTCTCTGAGAGTTAAAAATCATACGTTATTGTTACCTCGAGCTATTAACATCTGTAAGCCTCCACGTCACAATACAACATCTTACTCGATTTAACTGTAAGTCCATTTTCATTAATTTACTTATCTTCAATGTTAATTTTTTTTCGTATACTTATGATTTTATAGACATATTAACAATGGCTGTTATTGAGATTCGCAACCGACCTCCTAACAGAACAATTAGCGAGAGATCTGTTTCGCGACAATTACATATAATGACGTTGTGAGGAATAGAATATATACTAAAAAAATGCTCTTGCTTTATAAATGCGTTGATCTCGATTGTTAGCATATAAATTGACTCCGTATATTTTTATTATAATGACATTGATGAATAATTTATTGTTAATTTATACTAATATTTTAATTTTTAATATATTCGCTGAAGAAGGTTGAAAAGTACAACCGAAACGTACGACGAATCAAATTTACTTCTGTATAATATTTAATAATTTATGACATTTATGTTATAAATCTTTTCACAAATATATTTCTAGTATAGAACTTATCTAGCTCTTATTGCTTTTTTATTTGTTGATTAAACATTTTCTAAAGAGCTGTTACAAATTATATTAAAAACAAATCATATTAAAAATTTTACTCGATACTATTTTAAATCAAATAAAATATAAAACAAAATAAGGAAAATATGGCAAAAAACAAGATTGAACAAAAATAGAATTTTACTAAATAAAAATATCACGTAAAATCAGAGAGGATATAGTAAAATACAGAAATGACATTTGGAATAATAAATTACAAAAATTAAGTGCAAAAAAGTTCCATCTGGAAAATGATTAAATCATTAAAGAAATCTTATGAACCCATAGCTACCTTAACCAATAACAATATAACATATCACTAATATATGTTCAAAAAGCTAACATATTAGCAGAACATTACGAACAGATATTTAAACTAGCATATTTTTCTTAAAAATGGAAAACTACGTATATAATACCAATCCATAAATCAGGTAAAAATAAAACATTACCAATCAGTTATAGACCGATAAGCCTCTTAGCCACGTTAAGCAAAGTAATGGAAAAAATATTAAATAGACTACAAAAGCATGCCGAAAATAACAAACTTACAAATAAGCATCAATTTGATTTTAGGAAAAAACGCAACACAGTACAACAAATAGTAAAAATAGTAAATGACATACGAGTAAATTATAATAAAGTAAAAAATAACGTAACAGTAATGTTACTCTTAGATACAGAAAAAGCCTTTGATAAAGTTTGGATGGATTTGTTATATAAAATGCTGGAACAAAAATACGCGTTTTATATGATCAAGTTAATACATTCATATATAAATAATAAAACATTTCGAGTAACAATAAATAATAGTAAATCTAAAACGAAAATAATAAGGGCAGGTGTATCATAAGGCTCAGTTTTCGGTCCGATATTATTTAATATATTTTTGAATGATATGCCGGAATTTCCTAAAACCAAATTAGCAATGTTCGCTGACGACACGGCAATATACACACTCTTTTAGCGCAATAGTAGCGGCAATACAAATACATATAAACATTCTTGAACATTATTACAAATTATAGAAAATACCACTTAACGCAGATAAAACAGAAGCAATTATTTTTACTAGAAAATACAAAAACACGAATTTTTACACCGATTACATTGTATAAACAATCAATTCAAATTAAAAGTTCGGTAAAATATCTCGGCATGCATTTAGATAGTAGATTGACAGTAGATAAACATAAAGTTCATATAAGCAAATCAATTCAAAGAGCATATGGGACCATGGGACAACTATTATTCACTTATGGCTAAAAACTCTAAATTAAGTATTACAAATAAAAGACTCATATATGTAGTAATTTTGAGACCGATATTGTTATATGCGGCTCTGTCTGGTGCTCAGCAGCTCCTACAAATATTAAACTGTTACAATCGTATTAAAATAAATGTTTACGATTAATTTTAAGGACAGATATGAAAAAATCAAAAACTTACAACTTTCAAATATAAGCCTAATACAAAACCACATTGATGAAATCGGTTCAAGATTCTACACAGAACAAATAAATAATGGAATTGATTTGGTTAAAGAAATAATGTGTCTCGACAAAGCAACTAGACCAAAGAAATGGTTGTATAAATTAGCGTATGAAGAACTCGATATACCTGACGCAGAATGTATTTATAGTTGACGTTTATTTATTATTTATAGTATATTTATATATCATTTAAGTTAGGAAATAGGTTTGAGCAAATAAAAAGAAAAACGAATATTGTAAATAACATTTAAGCGAAGACGAACATATATTTGTATTATTTATAAGAAGCTGAAGGTTAAGCCATGAGGCAGGAATTTCAATTTATACTGTAACAAATATTTCATCTGAATGATTTTCATTTATTGAATATGTAACTCAATCAAAATGAATAAAGTTCTATTAAAAGTAAAGTAAGTTTTCGTCCGATCACATGACGAAGTCATGGTCTTACATAAGACCGTGACTGAAGTTAACTAATGTTGGGCATGGTTAGTACTTAGATGGATGACCACTTGGGAATACCATGTACTGTTGGCATTTTTTTTGCTAATTCAAAATTTTAAGGGAATCTTACAACCCGGTTTTACCGAAACTCAAAGTTGGATTCGATCTCTAATCTTTTTACTGACTGTACAGATTAAAAAATAAATCCTTTTTTATAGTTAAAGTACTAATAATAGCAAACGATAGGCGCTATAATTTCATGTAAAAAACTTTAAAAATATTAGAAAAGAATATAAAAAAAGTAAATTTTTATGTATGATAATGCTTTATAATAAATGTATAAATTATTATTATAAATTATAAATTATAAATTATAAATTATAAATGTATAAATTATTGTAATATCTTAAAATGATAAATTATGATATCACCAAGCAATGGTTTCTAATATTAATTTATATAATTTTTCAATTATTTTAATTTGTGTTTAGGAATTTGACGAGAGCAGCGACTGGGCTGGTAAACCTATACCTGGATGGCTGTACCGTGCTCTCAGCCCGAGTACAGTATTACTTGCATTACATGATCGCGCGCCACAGCTCAAAGTCGCTGAAGATAGATTGGCGGTCACTGGGGAAAAGGGATATTGCATGATAAGAGCCACACATAGTAAGAACCTTATAAATTTGTAAAGACACAGCTGACGATAGGATTAAGTGGAAGCAGATTTGATTTGTTTGCATAGTTTGAATTTTCTATGATTAGAAAGAAATTCCTATTTGCCTCTGCATTTCAAATATTTAAAAATGTTTGCTGTGACTTGTCTGTATAAATATCTTCAATAAATTTACAAATATCTTATAGGTGTAAGCAGAGGCACTTGGTACTGGGAGGCCACCATTGAGGAAATGCCGGAAGGATCAGCGACAAGACTTGGATGGGGACAAGAATACGCGAACTTACAAGCTCCACTTGGCTACGATAAGTTCGGTTACTCATGGAGATCAAGGTATTCATACAAAGTGGGGAAAAAGTATGGAAACCTTGAAAAATCTCGAAAAATATAAGTTTATAGAAAAATGTGTCCTCTAAAAGTTGTAAGGCTTAAAAAAAACCTATTTACTAATCTTATTAGTTTGACCTTGAAGAACTTTGCCAAGATCAGGGCAAAGTCATCTTGAATTTTTTAAATGAAACCATTTATCATTGCATATTCTTGTAGCTTATCTCAAGAGCTTTCCAAAACTTTATAACAAAAAATTTTTTGTTAAGTACTTTTTGAGTTATAAAGGTTTGAAGTTAACCATTTTTTAATGTAAAATGTAAAATATCTTGTAAAATATTTTGTGAATTTTTGAGATAGTATATTGTTAAGGTAAAAGAATATTCATTGTACAATATTATGATATAGGAAGGGTACGCGATTTCACGAAAGTCGCGGCAAACATTATAGCAACGGATATAGCGAGGGTGACACATTGGGCTTCCTCATTATTCTTCCAAACACACATGATGCATCACACATTCCAAATACTTATAAAGATAGAGTGAGTATATTGTACCAATATAAAAAAAATTTTTTCTCTCTCTTTCTGGTCTTAACCCCTTGAGTGTCAGGCAAGAAAAACGTTTGTGTGTCAAGGATGCTATCAATGACATAAACTTAGAAATATAAAGTAAGTCACTTTTCCGGGGGTTTTTTGTGGTGCCGATCAGAAATCCGAGGTCAGAATTTCAAAATTCAAAATGGCGGATAATCTCAAACATTTTTTAATTCCCTATATTGCTAATTATCGATTTAATTTTAGATTTTTAGTATGAAAAAATGTTTTAGGTCGGATCTACAACAGGTGTGGTAAGCTCTAAGTTTTAAGAAAATCACCAATCACAGTCAAGAATGAAGGGAATAATTGACTGTGATTAATCAATTTCTTAAGGCTTACAGCTTACTACACCTGTTGTAGATCCAGCCTTATCTGATACATTGTACCGGTTACTTGAAAAATAAAATAACTTTTAAACTATACTAATTTTGAAGAATTATTATCCGCCATATTGGATCCGCTTCAATTTCTAAAATCCGACATTAAACTTATAATCAGTGATCTCAAAAACATTAAAGTATGTATTATCAGTTCACTTGCTGCACTGCAAAAGTTATTTATTGGCGTTTAATAAAATATGCGGATTTTTCCATCATGAAGCACTTTTGGCCAGTTTTATTTTGGCGGATTTTTCATTGACACTTAAGGGGTTAATATTCTACATATAATTTATATATATATATATATATATATATATATATATATATATATATATATACACACGCGCGCGCGCGCACACACACACACACACACACACACACACACACACACACACACACACACACACACACACACACACACACACACACACACACACACACACACACACACACACATATATATGCTTTTATAGAAATACCTAAACATTTCCTTTGTTTTTTTTATTCCAAAATTAGCCCTTAGTGAAATTCAAGAGTCACTTATATTACGAGGAGAAAGACCAAGTGCAGGAAGCTTTGAAAGCTCTACGACCTCTAAAAGGCAGCAAGATCGTGTACTACAAAAACGGAATCAATCAAGGCGAGGCTTATATAGACATTAACAAAGGCGCTTATTATCCTGGAATTTCGATCTATAAAAGCGCAACAATTTCCGTGAATTTTGGGCCGAATTTTAAGTGTCCTCCAACCGATACTACATTCAGAGGCGTAAGTATATTATTCACATTCTCCTTCTAAAGAAAGCATATTATATTGATTTATTGCATATTATTGTCTTTTCGAAAGTCTCGAAGTATTGTTGCCTCTTTTCTGCGATGATTGATTCTGTCACAGCATTTACTTCGTGAGCGGTTGTCATTGCATATTTTGACAGTTGTATGTATCGAGGGGTTAGTGTAGCGATAGTAATGTATATTAAAGGATTTGGTGTAATAGTTAAAATCTGATAAATGTTTATTATTTTTATGACTGAGCGGTTTCGACTACAGTTTCTCAGTTAGAAAGAAAAATAGAAATTCGGTGAATTAAAATTATGTATTTTAGAAATTCAGTTAATTTAGATTATGTACATAATGGAAATTCAAGAATTAAAATTATATACCTAATAGAAATGTAACGAATTAATGTACATAATTTTATTTTTGAATTTTTATTGTATACATAATTTTAATTTTTTAATTTCCATTATGTTTTAAATGGCGATTCGCCGAATTTTTACTATGTACAATACATAACTACTCTTGAATTTCTATTATGTTATAATTTCAATTGGCCGAATTTCTATTAGGTATTTCAGTTATTTACATAATTTCAGTTATTTACATAATAGAAATACGGCGAATTAAAATTATCTGCATAATAGAAATTCAAGAATTAAAATTATATACATAATGGAAAATAAAAAATTAAATTTATTTACATAAAAGAAGTACAACGAATTAAAATTACGTTCGTAATAAAAATTAGGCGAATTAAAATTATGTATATAATAGAAATTCGAGAATTTAAGTTATGTACATAATTGAAATTCGACAAATTAAAATTATGTACACTCGCGGAGAAAAAGTTTGTTTAGCGCGCGCGTGTTATCTAGTTTTACAAAAACCTTACGCATAGCGAGAGTAAGTACCATTTTTATAGTTTTACAAGGTGTCCCATAGGAAATCGCTGAAACTAGTCAGTAGTCATTTTTTAATGCATGCAGTTATTGAGAAATCAAAAATTGTGTTGGGAAGAGGAAAGTCTGCAGTTTTTAATGGATATAAATAAAATATTTATGTACCAATTTATTTTATTAATAAAAAGTAATGAAAAAAGTGCTAATAATCACATAAACTAATGATAAATATTTTCAACAGTGCCAGATTTAATAGCAGCTATTAAAACGATCGTCAATAACATTAAAAATGATATGTTAGAAAAAGTTTTTATGAGTTTTTATAAAAGAACAGAATTTTGTACAAATTCAAACTGTGTGCACTTCGAAAATATTTATCATTAGCTTACATATGTGATGTTAAAAAATGACAGCTAATTGGTTTCAGCAATTTCCTATGGGATACCCTGTATGTTATGTAAAATAAACGTAATAAAGCGTGAATTATTGGATTTGCATACATTAGAAAACTTCTAATTGGTTCTCCAGTGGAAGATTCCAAAGCAATAGTCGATATTTAAATATGTACTGATGAGATTTTCTTCGAGATAGGGAAAAATATAGAAACTTTCGGTGATTCTGAACAATATCAATTCTTGCTGACAAAAATATCTTTGTTACAGATGCACGAGAAGGCAGAAGAGGCGATAGCCGAGCAATCCATGGCGGACATGCTTTATCTCACCGAGAACGAAGGCAAACTAAGACTAGATACATTTGTATTATGACATTAGTGTATTCTTTTATTTTCCCTTATTTTTATTCTATATTATGGATCTGATATGCTGATACGCATATACAGTGTTTAACGCAGCAACACGTGATTTACACTCCAAAAATTAATTTTTGGTTTCTTATTATACTTATAAACATACCCCCCCCCCCCCATACACACACAATTCGCATACATTTATAAAAATTTTTTTATTTTTGGTACATGGAAGAATCTAAGAGACAAAGGTAAAAAGGAGACTACTAAATCTCATCAATGATATGTAATTCTTTGCATGCATACAAAATTTGCGCCATATAGTTTATTATATTTTTATCTAAAATGCTGTAACTAAAGGAATAAAAGTTACAGCAGTATTATCTCTAGAAAAATAACTCAATTGATATCTTTTGAGAAAGTGAATCCTAATGTTAAAAATATAAAGCTTCATATATTGAACAATTTCTTAAATTCTTCTTTAAAAAAATCATTATATTGAATTATGATTTATATAATTTAATTATTTTATCATTTTGTTATTCTGTTTTAAATTTACAAATTTAAAAAATTATTATATATATATATATATATATATATATATATATATATATATATATACATGTAGAGCATATGTATGCATGTGAAAGATCTCATTTAATATAAAATAAAATATGTATATATTACTTATGTAAATCACAGTAAAATATACGTTTATTATATGCATGTTTATTACAGATATTGCATAATTTATTTTTATAGCCTATTATTTTTTAATTGATGATTAAACTATTAAATAACTTTATTTTCCGAAACCACCTCTGCAAGTAGGACTCGTGGTCACTATTTTGCTGCTTGCTTCCCATTGCTCTGGTGTTTTCGCCTTAAACATACATTGCATCTATATAAAAATTTGATTTTAGTTGAGTATCAAATGGAGCATAATTTATTTTTTGAACTAGTACAAAGACTGATTAATGATCAATCGTCATTACTTACTACTATTGATAAAGCATGTACGCCTTCTTGCAGTTCCACTTGTAATAATTCATGTATCATTCGGTGTCTCTATATTAATAATTCAGATTTTTTAGATTATTTATATTATTTAAAGTAATACTCTATAAAATCTTGTATATTGATATATATATATATACATATATATTGTATTAATGCAGATCCATTTAAACAAAACTATAACTTTATAACTTTTTATGCAGCATATTGTCAGAAATAGATTTATATAAAAAAAACTATGATAATGCTATTTTAAAAAATTAAGATGAACTTTGAATGATCTTGAAAAAAATCATTCAAGGGCATTTTTAGCTCACGACATTATGTCTTCGAAATCCTGCAATTTTGTTCTAAAACGCCATAATTTTCAAATATTTACCTGCTAAAATTAAGAATAAATTATGATTTATATATATGTGTGTGTGTGTGTATATATATATTGAATATATATATATGATAAGAATATATATATATACACACACACACACACATATATAAATCATAATTTATTCTTAATTTTAGCAGGTAAATATTTGAAAATTATGGTGTTTTAGAACAAAATTGCAGGATTTCGAAGACATAATGTCGTGAGCTAAAAATGCCCTTGAATGATTTTTTTCAAGATCATTCAAAGTTCATCTTAATTTTTTAAAATAGCATTATCATAGTTTTTTTATATAAATCTATTTCTCGCAATATGCTGCATAAAAAGTTATAAAGTTTTAGTTTTGCTTAAATGAATCTGCCTTAATTTTTTAAATATATATAGATTCTATTCATTTTTTGATAATCTTACTTGAATATTTTTATGCACAAAATAATGGAGGGAATCAATTGATTGTAAAGAAAATACTTAGTTGTTTTTGAGAAAAAGTAATTTACAACTATATATTGATTTCTAAAATAAATCATTACGTAAATAAAAATTTATGTTTTTATTATTTTACTTTATTTCCTTCTTATATTTTATATTCTCATGATTAACCAAAATCAAAATTTTTCAAATTTGGCTTTAAAACAAACTTTAGCAAAATATTTAATAAATATTCAATAAACACAAAAATCTTTAATAATTACCTCAATTAATAGCTTCTTGTTAAATTTTTCTGATACAACCACTACCTTAAAATGCGTTTCGGAGCCTTTGGGAACATTATGCATGTAAGATTCATTAATGACGTTACAATACAGAGGTTTCAATATAGTTTCCAGTTTTTTCCTAATTGAATTTTCTATCGGGCCATTCAATATTGCTTTAGCACTCATTGTATCTTCTAAATGTAATGCACTATAATCTATAACGTTTTTATTTAATTTACATTCATGTTTATACAAGTAATATGTATTAGATAAACAAATGTTTATATAGATTCAAAGGAAACAGAATGCAAGTATGTACAAATTGCATGTAGTTATGGCAATCAATATTAAGAAATCTACATCAGTATACAGGAGTGAAATTTAAAGCGTAAAATGTTATATACAATTCTTCGAATAAATTATTCTATTGTACGCATAAAGAAAAAATATGTAATTATAAAATATTTATAACAACAATGAAGCAATAATAAACAAAAATCATTGTACGCTTAAAGAATAAGTACATAATTATAAAATGTTTATAATGATGAAGCAATAATAAACAACACTCAGAGTTGGATAATAACTAGTTATAATTAGTTAAAAGTTAAAAAGTTATTAACTTTTGTTAGTTTAGTTAATATAAAATGTATCAATTTTTAACTTCAAATAGTTATTTTTTACCTTAAACTTATTAACTTTTTTCCTAAGTTTAATTTTTTTTATCTCTGAATACCATTATATTGTTTCTTTTATAAGTTATAAACGTATTATTTTTAAAGTATTATTAATTTTTGTTCATTTGTCATTAATTGTAGTTACTAAAAAATATATTTCTATATAAAAATCAAAATTTCTTTGTTATTATAAATTTAAAAAGAATTAACAAACAAAATTTTAATTCAATGTTTTTAAAAATTACCTTTTAATTTAACTTCAGTTAATTTGATCTTAACTTAACTTTAACCAAGTTAATTTTTATTTATGTGCAAACTTTTAACTTATTAATTTTATATAAGCAACCAACTTTTAACGTAACTTAGTTTTACAAAATCATTAATAACATATGAACCCTGACAAAAATACAAAATCATTATTGTACAAAACTTCCATCGATTTAGTTAAATAATTATAAATTAGTTTATAATTTAACTTTATTTACACAAGGTAATATAAAACACTTTTAACTGTGTACTTACTTTTTCTACATATCAATTTTCGTAAAAATCTTGTTTTATGCATTTATTTATTTATATATTGCATTTATTTATTTATATATTGCATTTATTATTTATAATTATTTATCCTATTTTCAATATACAGCACCTCAGAACAAATATATATATATTTTTTTTCAAAAAATATCAGATTTTTATATACAAGAAATACAAGAATCCTATTAATTCACGAATGCAGATCTCCATTTTTATAAAACCCGTATTACACTACAGATTTGTGCGATTTAGATTAGGTTAGAACTGAAGATCGTGATCGACCAATTAGAGCAAAGAAGATTGCATTCTTATTGGTCAATCCGAAACCACCCATAGTAGCAAACTGGTGTTATTAAACGTCAAAATGACATGAATTTGACGTCTAATGACGTAATCGATGTCAAAATGATGCCATTTTGATGTTTAAAGGTACCTTTTCATGCTGTCGCTCGACGCTCGTTTTCTGCGATGTGATGACGTCATGTAAGTCGCTAGCGACGTGAAATGTAGTTCGATTTTTCCAACTACAAGCGATATTAGCGAGCGATAAAGATTTGAATGGATATCGAAATGGTAAGTATAATAATATTGTTTGATGAATATAATAAACATGTACATATATATTATTATAAAAATATTATTATTAATATTAAGGGGATGCTGGAGCTGTGCAGAGACTTTTGTTGTACATAACCTTGAATATGAGCAAATTTGCTTCATGTAAAAATTCTACAGTTTGTTATGCGCAAAATAAGAGCCAGCGTATGCGAAGGTTGTACAAAATTTTAAGTACATTTTTCTTTTTTTCTAGGCTTTTAACCTTAGTTCCAATTGCACGATATTGTTCAGATATGTTGTCTCGTGCATACGCTGACTCTTATTTTGCACATAACACAAACTGTAGAATTTTTACATGAAGCAAATATTGCTCGTGTTCGAGATTATATACGACAAAAGTCCCTGCACAACTCCAGCATCCCCTTAATTAAGGACATTATTATGTCTTTAACATTATAAGTAAACATAAATTGAGAAAGGTCAATTTCGAGCAACACTTTAACATATCTTGTTTTACATATAAATATAAATCTGTTATTTTTAATCATATAAGTTATGTCAGTAATAATATTTTATGTAACGTACGCAAAAAAACATTGAAGTAAATAAAATATTTGTTATATAAGATATTTTCTAAAATATTTTTTGTAGTCTCGTGTTCAAACGTGTGGATTATGTGAAACCATATGTAATGAGGACGAAGTACCCAGCCATGAGTGTCTTCAAGGATATTCTAATTTCATTACAGATGATAATTTGTACTTTTACCCTGTATTAGGTATTTTATATATATATATATATATATATATATATATTTTACTTAAGTTAATTACAAAAATTATTAAATCTGATGTTTTTTTAATAATGTTTTTTTAGACGATGGAGAAACTATTGTTAGAAGAAGCTTGACACAGGACGCTGAAACAATAGCATCTGTACCTTTTCATGGTGATAATCAAGGTCAAATAAATGTAATAAATTCTTGAAGTTTTAAAACATTATAAATGAGAAGTTATACATATTATGTTTGTATGATATACATTTTATTTTTTGTTTCAGAGAATATTTGATCCATTAATAATAATAGAAATTCCAATCAAAAGAGCGCAAAGGAAAAACTGTCACTTGAGGAGGAGGAGATGCTAATATTAGAAGTCCAATGCAGAGAACCACTATGGAATTTTAGATTACCTCTCATTCAAAGAAATTGCAGAATTACAAGAGCTTTGTGGGAAGAAGTTTCTCAAACTTTTAATGGTTATATAAATGTCTATTATTTATAATATTAAAAAAATATGCTGAGTGTTTCGCGGGTTTTATCTCCGTGTGTAAGTTCATCCTTGGATACTATCCAAGCATCCATAGCATCCAAGGATGAACTTACACATGGAGATAACCCGCGAAACACTCAGCAAACTTGAAGATAGTACCCGTGGAAGCCTCAAGAATTAAAAAAAATATATTAAAACAGAATGTTTTTACAGGGAAATTAAGCGCAGCTGGATGTAAAAGCAAGTTCAAGAATTTTCACGACACTTATAGGAGACTTGTGAACGCTGAGAAACTACCAAGTGGATCTGCTTCCAAAAGCAACATGAGCAAATGGAAACATTATAAAAGTATGGAATTCCTTCGAGATAGTTGCTTACAGAAAAGGTTAATAATGCATTTGTATGATTTCATTATTTTTAATACTAGAAAATTATTTTTGTATTAATTTTTTTATATAAAATAATAAATTTTATTTCTTTACAGTACGATTTCTAATATTAACGATGGAGACAGCAACAGTATTATCGAGAATGATAATGAATTAGATTGCCAAGATGCGAATATGTTAGAAGTTACTAATAATGAAGATAGTCAAGATACGAGTATATTAGGAAGTATTGAATAATTATCACAGTTTATTTTAAAATTTTGAAATTAGAAGAAAATGGTTTTTAAATTATTTTTTTTTTCAAGATCATGTAAGAAAGAGAAGGCGAGCAGAGTCACAAAACAGTTACTTAGAACGTATAGCAGACGCTTTATGTCAACCACCTCCTGACATTGTTCTTCCACCACCCCCTCAAGAAGACCATATAGATGCGTTCTTAAAACTGTTTGGTCATAACTTAAGAAAGTTATCGCCAGAAAAACAAAATGGATGGATGCAACGATATTTAAATATGTCTTACGAAATGTTAAAAGAAAACCAAAGATATTAATGAAATATTAACTTAAATATTAAATTAGCTTAACAAAAATTTTGTACTTTAAATTAAACTTAGTTTTTATTTAAATTATGGAGATAATAAAGCGTGAAATTATATTTTGTTTTATGTGTTAAATACAAAATTTATTAAAATGTTAAAATTACATACAAAATACAGTATAAACGTTATAAAATGAAATATTTATTCCTTTGTTTATCAACAGTGTTGAAATTGCCAAGGTATTGCTCCCTCGCTATTAAAGTATTCACAAAAGTCATCCCGAATTCTTGCAGCTTTCCGAGAACTGTTATTTGTACTACACCTTCTTATATCTTGAAAAGCAGAATTAATGTCTATATTTCTCCTCCAGAAACCTTCTATTAAACCATCGCAACCATCTCGATCAACCATGTTTTCAGTGATATATTCATTGACTCCAATATCTTGTATACGAATATAATTATGAAGACACACAATAGCTTGTACTATTTTCATTGCTGTTTCAATTGAACAATTTATTGGTCTTCTTAAAATTCTCCATTGACTTGATAAAATGCCAAAAGCATTTTCAATGGTCCTCCTTGCTCGACTAAGACGATAATTGTAAATAATTTTGTCCTGATTCAAACCTTGTTTTCCTGGGAAAGGCCTCATTAAATACTCAGTAAGTGGAAAAGCTTCGTCTCCAACTAGCACGTAAGGCATAGAGTTTCCTTCGAAATAAAATGGTTTTGGATCAGGTACATTCATTTCATTGGTTCTGAATTTTTGGCCAAGAAAGGAGTCTCTAAATATTCCACCATCACTGCGACGTCCATAGGCTCCAATATCCACAAAAGTAAAAATATAGTTTGCATCACAAACAGCAAGCAAAACAAAACTGTGACTGTTTTTATAATTAAAATATGATGATCCTGCATTTTCAGGACACTGAAAAAAATAATATAGTGATTATTTTAAAAATAAAAGTCCTCTAAAAATAAAAATCTATTTTAAATTTTTTCAGTAACTTACTTGAATAACAACATGTTTACCATCAATAGCTCCTATACAATGGTTAAAATTCCATACCTCTTCGAACTCTTTAGAAATATTTAACCATTTCTCTTTTGTTAAAGGATATGGAAGAACATGTTTAGAAAGAACAGACCACAATGCATCACAAGTTTCTGAAATAATATTGCTAACTGTGGTTAGTCCGAGGAGATATTGGTAGCTCATGGAAGTCATTGAATCACCAGAAGCAAGAAACCTATAAGAAATATTTATAATAAATATTTTAAATATAAATAACATATTCTAACTTTATTTTTTATTTATTGTGTTTTCAACTTACCTTAATGTCATGCATAATCTTTCACTGGCAGATATTGGTTTTCGAGTTAATACTTGTTTTGTGATTAAAGGTGCTACTTTGTATAATAACTCTTCAAGTTGAATTGAATTCATACGAAAGTAATTTCTAAATGTACTTATTTGCTGTGAAACTGTGGGTAAAATTGCATTATAAAATCCATGTTCGCGTCTCATTTGAAACAATGGATTAATCTAAAACTCTTTTCTAGTATAAGGTCGTTTCCTTTTTTCTATTAAATCAAAAATAACTGCCGATATCGCTAATCTTTTTCTCCTTTCTCTCATATTATGATTATTTATAATTTTTGCACACTCCGTTATCCAATTATATTTTTCTGATTGTGACATTGTGCGATTATATATATTTTGGAGCACCTGTATGGAATTCTTCAGCTGACGCTACTACATTAAAATCGCGTCGCTGGAAAACCCTTTTCATGTTTGATATTAGTCGCTAGCGACAAATCCAGTCACGTGACTTTTTTATCGCTCAAAACGAGCGATGAGCGACGCATGAAAAGGTACCTTAAGGGTCGGCAGGCGACATGGTAGAGACGCCTATCGGCCGGCCGGGAATTAGAGATTCTTATATTCCAGATATTAGCGAAACTACTGAATGAATCTTATTAAATTTATGATATTCTTAATCAGTAAGCTCAAATGCAGTCCGCCAAAGAGTTATTTATTGAAAAAAAGATGAAAATAAAATTTATAATATAACTTGGGGGAATGCGCAGCTAGTAACGGGTAAGGTTGAGTTAGCCAGGAGTCCGTATTTTATTTATTATAAATTTTTCAGAGCAAAAATGCAAAATCCGACTCTTTGGCGGACTACTTTATTATATCAAGAATATATTAAAAAAAAAAAACCAAAGTTTTGTCACTTATTTTATGAAATATCTGGACGATAAGATTCTCACTAGATTCATAAGGAGCAGGGGAAATT